CAAAAAGTTCAATGATTCCAGTGACTCAAAAAGGCTTTCGAATTCATCACGAGGCGTCGTTGGTGGTATATATAAATTGCACAAATATATATGCGTAAACCTAAATTTAATTTTTATCAAAAGGCAGTCTATAAAGTTGAAAACGGGAAAAGAATATTCCTGAAGATTTAACATGGTAGAGATATATTCTTCATGGATCGCAATCAGCACTCCACCACTGAAAAATTTCTGTCAGATCTAAAAACATTACATTCGGTATTAAATAATTTAAAAATTTTACAATTACTTTGAACAACAGAGTTAAAAACTTCTGCTGTTTTTGTTCTAAGACCCCGAGTATTCTGATAAAGGATTGATAGTTGGTTTTCATTATCATTAGACTCTGACCTGATCTGAAATGAGTTTACCGGGGTCAGTAGAAAATTAGTCTGTGGTTGCTATTCAAGTCCAAAGTTTGATTTAAGTTTATTCAGAGTATCGATATAAGCCGAACATTTGTCCCTATTCCATACAGCATGATCAGTCATTATAATTGGATTTTTTAATTTTACGCAATTGGAGCAATTTTTACTCTAGATTTGCAGTCTTTTAAGTCGTCACCCTCACCACAAATTGGACAAGATACGATTTTAGTGCATCTTTGTGCAGAGCGGTTAAACTAACGTTGTCAGAACATGCGAAGACTATCTACTCTGTTGATTGACTTTCGCTAGGAATAAGTAAAAATACATTCTTAAACAGAACATTTATTTTTTTATAAGTGTCATGGCCTAGGGGATTTGGATAATATTGCAATAACTCATCATATCTATTCAGAAAATTGACTCTAAAATGAAACAGATAATATAGAAATTGAGATGTTTTACTTTTTACCTATGTGGTTTTAAAACAAGCTGGATTTTTTATCAACAATGACATTTTTTAATAATACTAAAAATAATGAATTTTCCTCCTATAGTGATCTTATCCGTAGACGCACTGTAAAATAGTATACCTTTTTGGTTATTTCATTAAATTTTATAAATATAATGTTTTAAGCATTATGCATCAAAATCACGAATCAAACTTTTATTTTTAAAACGATTAAACGTTATTAATGTTACATTACAGTCACAATAAACATAAATTATGTAAATACAGACCTAAAATCTAATATCCCATTGTTTTAACGTTATTAGTAGGTCATAGACGAAAGTAACAGTTCTGTTTAAAAATCCATGATTAGAAGACTGAATAAAGAATTTAAAATTAATAGTAATACAGTTTCAACGTTTAGATTTTTGATCATTTGTACTTATGATCTACAGAAAATGGTATTTGATTCTTTTATTGATTTTATACCTCCTACAAATAGGAATTATTTATTATAATAGAAACGTATGAGGCTATACAGGGTGTTCCTCAACATCATAAACATACGGAAGGGGGTAATTCCTTGAATTATTTCATGACTAAAAATTAATCTATACATATGTACTATATTAACTATTTGCGTGAGGTTCCCAAGGCTGCGGTCGTCATAAGTAAAACTATTAGCAAAAGAAGACATAATAGTCCAGAAATGTCTGGAAATGCACATACTTTGATTACTATACGGGGCAAGAGAGAGGTCCGACACGCCCAACATAGGGCGCGGCCATTTTGAACCCTATGACACAGTTTATAGCTAAAGAATCAGATCGCTCACTCTACGTCGGCCTTTTTATCACAATGTTCCAGTTTATACACTGCGCAACTCAGATAATACAATATATGACAACCGCTTATAATAAAACAGCAGTCTTCTGCGTATCCTGAATTTGTATCCCTGGAGTGGATGTTATTTTGGAACTTTCAACTGGTCCGAGTGAGCTAACTGATTCTTTAGCAATAAACTGTGACTCCAAAAATAATATTCACTGACACTGACAGCAGCAAGCAAAATATCAGGTGCGTTTTAATCATCCGCTTCTGCTTCCGGAATTGTTGGTTTAGTCGTTTTAACCTGTCAGATTAAAACAAGAAAACCGACAATTCCTAAGCAGAAGCGGATGATTAAAACGCACCTATTAAAAATATTGCGCCAAGATGTAGGCAACACGTAATAAGGGTTCAAAATGGCGGAGTTTTCTATCTCCTTTTAAAAGGCACTCAGAAAGCTGCGCAGTGCGACCATTCTCCGTATAGTAAAAGAAAATCAAAGTATGTGCTGGAAATGTCATTCCTTGCCAAAGAAAAATCCAGACTGTTCGAGAAGGTTAAAGCAAGCTATATATGCAATGATTCTGACGTCAGTTTTCAGTTTTATGATAGACGTTATATGTTAATGTTATCAGTTGTATAGTTGTAAAAGTTGAGTTGAAATAAATTGAGATACCAAAAACCTACGTAACATTGGTGACAGAGGTGGGATACAAAATGGAAGTTAATGGTAAATACTAGATCCACTGAGTACGAAACAGATACGGATACTGCAAGTCCACCAGCATGGTTTTTGAAGATGGAAGAGGAAAAAAAAGGCGCCGTAAGGAGGAAGAGGAGGAAAAGGACGGCATAAAAAGGAAGAAGAGGAGGAAAACGAAAGGCGCCGTAAGGAGGAAGAGGAGTAGAAGGGAAGGCGTAGAAAGGAAGAAGAGGAGGAAAAGGAAAGGCGTAGGAAGGAAGAAGAGGAGGAAATGGAAAGGCGTAGAAAGAAAGAAGAGGAGGAAAAGGAAAGACGAGATGAAGTGAAAGAAAGACGCAAGATGGATGAAGAAAAAGAGAAGGAAGAGAGGCGTAGAAAAGAAGCGGTTGAAATTATGAATGCTTTGCTACAAATCCAGGAAACCTTCAAGTAAGAGGTTGGTCAGCTTAAAATTAGAGTAGATCTTTTAGAGCAACAACAAGAGCATTTAAAAACTAATTTAAAACAACAGAAAAAGGCTAGAGTAGAGTTCGAAAGGCAAATTAGAACTGAACTAGTTGAGTTAGAAAGAATAATTCGTAGCCTACCTTCAATAAGCAATAGAGAAACTGAAAACACTACCTCGTCATCATCTGTAATCGAACCAAGCCATATTCAAAACCCAGTTTCACAAATCCATACTAGCAAGATCATTAAGCCACCTACGTTTGATGGTCAGAAAACATGGGAAACGTATCGCCTCCAATTTGAAACTGCAGCTAGAGTCAATGGCTGGGCAGAAAAGGGCCCAAAACAAGAAGTCGAGGTAAAATGGCACAGTACCTTTCCGGAGAGCCTTTCGAACGAATGGCCATAGATACTTCTCGTAACAGACAGAGAAAACAAATACTTGATGGTTGTTATGGACTATTTTTCAAAGTGGCCCGAAATAGTGCCTATTCCTAGTCAAGAAGTGACGACAGTAGCGGAAGCATTTATGACGAACGTTATTGCGAGACACGGAGTCCCCCTGGAATTACATTCTGACCAAGGACGAAATTTTAAATCCGAATTATGACAAGAATTAATGAAACTGTTAGGCATCAGAAAAACACGCACTACGCCTCTCCACCCACAGTCCGACGGAATGGTAGAAAGACACAATAGAACGATATGCCAGTATCTTTCAATGTTCATCTCTGATAATCAAAAGGACTGGGTCACTTTAATTCTTCTATTTCTGCCAGCCTACCGAAGTTCTGAACAGGAAACGACCAGTTATACTCCATCCATGATGATTACTGGAAGGAAGATGAAACTTCCCCATGATCTTCTTTTTGAAGACAAGCCTCCTGGTGAAGAAGGCTCCCACATACGTCGTACATGCAGAACTTAAGAGAAAGATTAGAGAAGGTATACGAATTCACTCGGCAACGTTTGCTAAGGCAAAAGCTAGAATCGACATTCATGCCACAGAAACACATTTTGAGAGAGGTGATCCAGTATGGCTGTATTTATTCTCACTAAAACTGACTAGCTCCACTAGCGTAAAAATGTTAATACAAAAATAAAGACACTTTTAGTATCGTCATAGCATCCATCTCCTCTTTATTATATATCAATGATTGAAAAGATTCGTATGCCTCGCCCTACTTTGTGACGTCACGCCTAGATTATGTGCGATGCACAAAATAACGTGATTTTAGGCAGGCACATTGTTTGTTGACGTATTCATCTTCTTTTTAGCTACAGGCTTTCGTGAAAACCTCTCGCTTCCTCGCGCTCTCTCAGAATATTACACCACAGAGACGCAATTAGCCAGAGCGCAGTGGTGTACCAAAAAATAAATTTAAAATTAAATTTATATTTTTCTGTTATTTATTTTAAAATAATGTGTTTTTATGAAATGTAACTGGGTGTTCACTGCATAAATGAACCAATGGAGAAACCGCCATTGCTACAGGGTGATATTTTTCAAGCATCATTTTCGCTTTTTATTTCTCTGAACTTTTTACGATGTGTCGCTGGTAGATTATAAAATAAAAAATTAATTTTTTGTTTTGTTTAAAAACTTTTTGGTTTCCTGTAGTTTTTTTTATATCTGCGACCGTTATCGAGAAAAAAAATAAAAAACGATTGTGTATAAATGTAATTTGCTAAATGAAAGTAAAATTGTTAAAATGATCTAGTAGGCTCTGGCTTTATTGTGGATGATCTCTTATTTTAATTAATTTTGACAGTACTCATTTGAAGTCGTAACTTGTGTCTGCATGTGTTTATAATTTAAACTTTAAATGATTTTTCTTAGTGATAAAATAAACCATTACCCACTTTCGTATGTATATGATGTTTAGGGACACCTTGTATGTACTAGATAATTCTAATGGGTTTATTGAAATTTTAAAAACAAAATAAATAGCGTGTCTTAGCACCCTAAAGTACTTTCTAAAATTTGAATTGTTTATGTTGCCCCGTTCGAAAGATATTTTTGAAAACCAATTAGGTAACATTAGCACCTTTAATAGGACATTGACCCATTAAACAAATCCTACTTATTTTTATTTTCTAAAAATATTGCTCAATAATGTTAGTTCACCTTGTATATTATAAAATTAACGGTACTTATTTTATATTGTAGACATGGAGAACAGAATCTATCGCCGACTAAGTACGTAGGAGTAGAAAGCAACGATGAAAATTCGACGGATCAAGCTACATATTTTCCTCCAAGTCACTGGTCTACCGAAATTTCGAAACCAGTAGATAATAACGAAAATCGTCGAAGGGATTCTCAAAATACACAACAAAATCATCAAAACCAACGAGTAAATTATCAAAATCCACAATCAAATTATCAAAATCAACGAACCAATTATCAAAATCAACGAACTAATTATCAAAATCAACGAATAAATGATCAAAATCCCTCAAACAATGATAATCAAAATGAGGAAACTAATCAAAATACACAAGCATCCGATGTACAAGCAAATAATCAAAACCAACGAGTAATTTATGAAAAAACAATTTATCAAAAGCAACAAACAAACGTTCAAAATCAACGACGAATAAGTTATAAAAATCCATTAGATAATGATCAAAATATAGAAATTAAACAAAATTCGCAACAATCAAATTATCAAAATCAACGAGCAAACGATCAAAATCAAAATGCACAAGTCACTGATCAAACCCAACAAACAAATCACAATTCGGAAGACTCGAAACCAAGGGAAGACAATCGTTACAGTAATAATGGAAATCTTCAACCTGAATACAATTCAATTCGAAGAAGCAGTATGCAAAATTCTAGCACCAAGGGAAAATCTATAAACGTTTATTCAATTAACAGCAGTAAGTATTAAAATTTCGATATCGAGGAGAAAGTACGGAATCGTAGAAGTCAGTGGGGCTCTTGACCAAAATATTGGGGGTTCACAATGACAGAATATAGATCTCAGTACAGATGTGTATGTACAAAACTTTAAGTGTTTTAGAAAGCTTTTAATATATCTTTCTAAAACACTAAAAGTTTTTTACGTATATATGTTCTGAGATCTATACTCTGTCATTGTGAACCCCCAAAATATTGGCCACAAGCCGCCACTGTAAGAAGTGCTATACATTTTATTTATTTTTTTATTTTTCCGAGTTGACCTTGGAAAAATCTATTTTTCTGGCTTGTAACCACGGTATAAAGTGTTTCAAATTTACGTAAAACATTGATCAGAGTACGAGTTAGGTCATGGAGTTATAAGGTAGAGAGACGCTATAAGTATCTTTTTCAAACATTCAAAACGGTATCACTTAGCGTGGATGTTGTTAACCCAATATGGCCGAGCCGCCAGATACGAACTTTTCTGAATAAAACCCGAACCTACAGTTTTATTTTTTTTTTTTTTTTTTTAGAAAATGTAAGCAATATTTATTAATTGTTATAAAATGGATGATTGAGGTCATAATAACTAATATCTTAAATACGGCCCTGCACATTGTTTACTATGTTGTATATTTAGTTGTGGAATGTTATTTCAGATAATTTCTTCATATAAATATCTATTAGGTTGCTAAAAATACGTTGAGCACAAGCAACCAATGTTTAACTTTTAATATGTACAATATATTTAGTTTGCAAACGACATAAAATTAGAAAAAACGTTGATTGAAACCACGAACACAATATGGCCGAAGTGAACCCGTATTAGACCACGCGATAGCGTCTCCCTACCTTCTACCTCCATGAGTTAGGTACATTTACAGCAAAAAAATGGCGGTTCATTTTTAACCGAGAGAAGTGCAATCTGCATATGACAGTTTATTTTGTCTTTTATCAAGTGAAAAATACTACTAGAGTCTAATTTTCAACATACATTTACCACTTGAAAAGTTGAGCATTATGAAACTGGTTACGAAAAAATTCATTTTGTCACCAGTTGCGAAAAGAGAACAGTTAAAAATAAACCTTTTTGGAGGTTTTAAAATCAGTATATTACATTATTATTGAAAGTTTATACCAAAGAATGTCAGCAGGTTGGTTAAACTTACAACTTAGTAATAATGTTGTTTTGGTCCTTATTTTCCATTCTAAATCAGCATACAATACACGACAAAATAACCCACTTTCTTGAAATATAAATAACTTTAACAAGAAATATAAACACACTAGAATAAGTCATTGAGAATAAATGAATATTATTTTCTATTTGTCAATAAATTGAATAAAGTTATGCATATGCAAATAACAATACAAGAAAGAAATATCGGTTGTCTAAATGCCAGTAATTTTTACCAAAAAAAACATAATTCTATAAAAAATAATTTACTCGTTTATGTTGCGAGACTTAGCTCTGCTCGCCTCGCATAAATTCACTCGTTACATTAAATAGGGAATTTCGTAACTTGTTTCATAAATAGCTATTACACGCAATGTCATTTATTAATAGTCAGGAAAATAATAGAATAAGTATCTAATGGGAAAAATACGCCAAAACATGAACAGACTAATTTTTTTCGATTTTTTTAGACCATTTTCGAGCCTCTAAAACACATTTTTGAATACATTTTTCGACTTGAAACCCCTTAAAATTAATTTTTTTTCTTACCTTAAACGTCTAAATGTGTCAACCAATCACGATTCTAAAATCACGTGAATTACATCATTTTGATTGATTTCTTGTAGTGAAAACTGCTAAATATCAATATTAGGCTATCCATAGAGCAACAAACCATACAAAATGTTTTCGTAAACAATTGGTTACTTCGTAGTGACATATCTACTGTCAGTACTGTCGTTTGAAAACATCTAAAAAAAATACAGTGTTGCCAGATCAATCCGAACATGTCAATCGTCATGTTACCTGTGTAAACGTAAACTTTTTCACACAATTTCTTGCGGTTGCGCATACCGGTCCATAAATATGCGACAAGAAAACGAAGCAACGATTTCTCGTAGGGTGGCGCCACCAGAAAACATTATCCCATACCTGGCTACGCCGACTGGCATAGACCCCAACGGCCTGGACACAGCTTAAATTGAATAATTGGAATGGAAAGTCTCAAATAAAGACATTTATATTCTGGTTTTATCATCTGGCCTGGAGCTATTGAAAAAATAGCCACTGTCATTCCTGTTATATACGTTATCTTACTATGTTTGGCAACACCGCATTTATAGAAATAGAAATGTCAGTTGTCATATTATTCATGAACAAAAATGATTTGATATCATTAATATTTCAAGATTTTCAAAACCAAAAGTGAAGAAAAAATTAACGTTTACGAAAATTTTTTCTTGGTTTATTGCTATATGGATAATCTAATATTGATATTTAGCCGTTTGTACAACAATAAATCAATTGAAATGATTTAATTCACATATTTTTCATGGTCGAGTCTGGACAAAACATTTTGATGATTTTAAGGTAAAAAAACAAATTTTTAATTATCAGCGGACCCTAAATAGTTATGTGCAGTACGTTTCAAAGTGTTTAACAATATTTCTTTAAAATTCAATAGCAATATCCGCCGTTCATGTTTCATGGTATATTGCCCACTTGAACAGTAATAATACAAAAAATCACTCAGACGATGCATAATATTTTTTTATCTTCCAGGAAACAACGAGATTGTGAACTTCAAATCAAATTTCAAAGCGACGACGCCGGTTTACCCATCTTCAGTCAAAGACACTACTAGAACTCCCAACAACATCGGTCTTCTACCACCTCTTTTCTCTGTACTGCGAACTGCTATGACGCACAAACCCGAACTGCAACTAGAACTGCTACCCCCTAAAAATCCGCAACATGAACTAATACTTAATGAAGAAGGATTATTCCAAGAACATCAACTTTTTTCGAAATTTCTGTCCACAACGCCGGCTTATCCTTCCGAAGACGAATTAAGGGAATTTGAACAACGCTTACACCAACCAGTCACAGTTCTTTTAGCAAGTAACTTCGATGACTCTGGTCCTAAAGGAATTCCTATAAATTTCCAATCTAACTTTAAAGCCACCACACCCCAGTATCCCACTTCAGTGAATCCAACTAGTCCTGAACCGTCTGATATAGGAGTTTTACCTCCAAAGAACAGCAACAATAAAGTTAATTTTCAGTCAACATATAAGGCGACTACACCCAATTATCCTACTATTGTAGAGCAAACTAGTCAGAATCCTAGTGAAGCCGGAATATTACCTCCAAAAGAAATCAGTAACGAAACTAATTCATTTCCTACTTTTAAAATACCAACGGACGTTTTAGAACCAACAGGTCTTAACGAAAGACGTGTCGTCTTCAAATCAAATTTCAAAGCCACTACACCTCAATATCCATCCTATGTCGAAGCCACTAGTCAAAATCCTATTGATGTCGGTTTATTGGCTCCTAGAACAAAGGTTGTTTATAAATCCAATTTTAAAGCGACCACTCCCAAATATCCTTCCTTCGTAGACGCTACGAGTCCTAATCCTAGTGATGCGGGCCTACTTGCGCCGAAAGACACCGTTGTAAACTTCCACTCCGATTTTAAAGCTACCACTCCAAATTATCCCAAATCTGTAGTCTCTACCAGCCCAGACCCAGGCCAAGCCGGTTTGCTAGCACCACAACCTTCAAACGAGGTGCAAGGACTTAATCCTGATGAATATATCACCGATGCCAATAATTTTTCAGACAATTATAATCAATTTCCGTTCAAGACCCTTGATCCCACCAGCGAGTACATTGAAGAAGGCGACCTACAAGAAATTCCCGGTATAAGATTATCGAATTTCATGAAATCCTTCGACTACAAGCAATGGCAAGCTTTGCGACAAGCATTTAGGATTCCGGAATATGATTTTCCTCTGGATTATGCAACTAGGCCTAGCTATAATAGCGTTGTGAATTCATTTGAACCAGTTTCTTCTAAAAAATAACTCTATGCGTTTTTATGCACGAGGTTCTATGAATGAGTTTCCATGAATAAGTTTCTGTGGATGAGTTTCTATGAATGAGTTTCTATGAATGAGTTTCTATGAATGAGTTTCTATGAATAAGTTTCTATGAATGAGTTTCTATGAATGAGTTTCTATGAATGAGTTTCTATGAATGAGTTTTTACTATGAATGAATTTCTATGAACGAGTTTCTATGAGTGAGTTTCTATGAATAAGTTTCTTTGAATAAATTTCTATAAATGAATTTCTATGATAGAGTTTCTGTTAATTTCTATAAATTAATTCCAATCTTTAAATAATATATAAAAATATCCACGTCAGAATACTCAAAATGCGTCAAAATGCGTCAAAATGCGTCAAAATGCGCCGGAATGTATACAATATTTCGCCATTTTATTTTTTATTATTTAACACATCGGATGACATTTCTTTGTCTAAATATGGCATTATTTACAAGAGGATAGATATTTATAACTTTACTGATTCGTAGTTTCAAGAGCTCTTTGACCTAGTTAAAGTTGTCAGCAATCATATTATTGACTTCTCGGAAACCATTACAAGTATATTTAGGTAAATAAAAAATGTTGCTGCAGTTGGAATAGCCAATCGGATTGTATAAAGGGACATACAGTGAGCATCATAAGTCTAACTCGTTACTGGAGTCTTGTTAGGAAAATCGCCGAGACACGTCGATTTTTGATTTCTACAATGTACATTTTTGTATGAATAGTTTACCCTTAATTTCATCCCTTACTTGAGGCACAGTTTAAAGAATATATATATATATATATCAGTTGTTGCACTCTCCATCGGGCGTTAGATCTTTCGTGATCAAAACCGTGCCGTGGCTATCTGCTTTCAGGAAACGGCGTCTCTACAGGGGACTTCCAAGCGTAGGTTGGTTTCGCCCGGCGAATATTAGTGTACGAGGGGTTTCGCAAATGTGAAATATAAAGAGAGTTATTGAATTACTAAAAAATATTTAATCTGTAGTTTTAGCATATAAAGATAAATATATATGTACATTTTAAACTAATATAAAACTCGAAATTGGACCAAATAGGAATCACGTATTGAAAAAAGAAATAGTGTCTGCAACTAGGAGTGTTATTTGAAAATAATTAGAACTTTATTTGAAAGAATGTAGGATCAGTAATAATTCTTGACTGCTCAATGCAGGATGAAAGGACAAATCATCATTTCCCTGAAAAGGTATCTTAGTTGTACGGAGTGAGCTGCTGTGTTACAGAACTCCACAGTTGGCTTGATGAGCCGTGAAAATTGGTATGGTATATTGGGATTTAGGTATATATGATATAGGTAACTAGCTACAATAAAACACTGGCGAATTTAGTAAACGTTAAGCTGAGAAGCTGAAGATAAATAGAAATATAATAGAAAATAAACACTTAAAGCAAACTGCTTAAACTCGTATAATATACCTGGACCATTTTGGCGCAAATATAAAAAACTTTACATCTTCCAAGGTCACCTCTGTTTCTAGCTTCCTTCTACATATGTGAGTACTCATGGCCCTTTCCAGTGTTTTGACAGATTCCTTTAATGTTCTTTTTCTTGGTGAATTTTCGGAAAGCCTTAGTGTCGTTTGGGTACCGGATCTAAAAATTTTAAATTGAATAGTACTTATTGGAAAAAACCAGAAGGTTTCAGAAATTAAAGATAATATTAATATCTTTCCTCAAAACCAATATATTTTGTTCAATAATTTTTAATAGGAACCTAACAATTTTCGACAATGTGTGTTTAAAAGACCGTTTATTTTTTCAAAGTATTTAAACTTGAGTGGCATTTAAAACAACATTAACAAATCGCAACTTGCTTCAAAAAAAAATGTCATTCAATCGTAAGAAGGTGGTACTCGTCTATTTCAGTTTTACGGTCGTTATATAAAGGGCAGTGTTTCAATTACCTTTGTGATCGGAGTAATCAGCGTAGTCGAGGTAAGTAGTTTGAACACATGCATCATTGGTTCTTGCGTTTTTTTCAACTTCAAACTGATCGGTAAAATTATAGGTAGTGTGTAGTAGAAGATAGTGAATGTAGATTCTGTGAGAAGGAGGACGAAACCTCCATTTACATTCTAACTGAATGTGTAGCACTCCAGAATATAAGGACACTATATCAAATAGAAGATGGAGATTTACCTAACTTGAAGCCACTCCAAATCCTACACTTCCTTGAGAAACTAGGATTGGAAGGGTCGTTATAGGCATTGAGATATTTCCTTGGTGCATTAGCAACAGAAGGGGACACAATAAATCTTTTAGGTCGCAGTCTATTAACACCCCATTCCCAACATAACATAACATAGGTAGGGTTTGATACCGGCATGTCATAGACTGATGTACTTGTGTGAATGTTATCTATAAATGTGTGAGAAATATTATTTCCGTAAAAATTATCAAAATACATTTTTAAATCTACCTTTTCCAATTGAATCGATGTTTTACCTCAAAGATGGAACAGCATAATTATGGGTACGACTTCTAGAAAAGTTTACAAAACTATCTTCATCGAAATGCAAAGTGCAAATTCTAATAGAGCTAGCTATAACATTGTTCTGGCGTAAAATGAGTATATTTATGGGATCCTGTAAAGCCTAGAGTATTTTTCCAAATTTGGCACCTACAAAACGTTTTTATATTGTTTGGGAAAAGGTAAATGTTTTGTAAACAAATGGCTTATTATTTAAATATGTAATTAATTTACCACTTGTAGATTTAAATATTAAAATATTTTTTATCTCAAAAAAGTAGTAACCTTTGTTGATCTTTGGGACATCTAAAAAATGACAATACGCTTTGTAACCGATTTTCACAACCATCCACAAAACAAATATTTTTACCGCCCATTTTAATACAAAATAAATAACAAAGAAAAACAAAAATTATCTGAGACACCGTGTACACTGCGATCACAAACGATGCACGCAAATAACTGGTCGACCCGATACGGCAGAGGGTTGATACTAGTATGCCTTCAGTGCAGGGATCCCAGATGTACTAAGCCAAAATTCGTGAGCTTGATCATGAAAAAATCGTGAGATTGTACTACGCATGCGCAGTTTAGCTAAATATATATAGCATTTTCGATTTTGATGAACTTTATCCGAACGAATAGCAAGGAATGACCGACTTTTAAATATCAGTACATCTCTATCGATAGTGTGTTACTATCGAAAACTATCGATTGTTCGATAGTTTAAATTTACATGTTTTTAGTAGTTTTTAAGTTAATTTTCACGCAATTCAATCAAAAAACTAAACTTAAAAATAAACCAAATTTGTAGGAATGCACTCAACAAATTCAGCAATATAGATAATAAATCTGTTTTAAAGATTGCCCTAACTAATTTGTTTAACGTACGCACTCACAAATGTGACTCCTGCCTCCACCTGTTTTCTTATGTCTCTGATTACCTACTAATTCTTGTTTTTTTTTTTTTTCATTTTTTTATTTCAAATATTATTTTTTTACTATAAGTAAAATGTATTGCTTTACTATACTACGTATCAACCGTTGAATCAACGTTGGTATAGTTTCGATAGTGATAGTACTATTGATAGTAACTCTTGAGACTATGCCCCATGCCATTTAAATTTTTCGAAAGGGTTGCTCCTCTCCAGTAAGGCGTGAAATTAAGGGTGAACTATTCATACAAAAATGTACATTGTAGAAATCAAAAATCGACGTGCCTCGGCGATTGTTCTAACAAGGCTCCAGTAAGACTTATGATGCTCACTGTATAAATATACCTATAAACGTTTTCATTTTATAATTCTACGTTTGATTTTATCTTAAATTAATGTAGTACGTTGTTAATATTATGGATTAATATTTGATCTTGAAATTAGTTTACATGCATTTACCGGCATTATTAAAATTCTTCTATGTATGTACAACATTTCGTATTTTCGTTTGTAATTTGTATATTGTATAAATAGGGATAGAAATCCATCTTTTGTGCAGATCATTGAACAAATATATAACCATCAGTTCACAACAAGTACTACCTTACGACTGACTGTTTACTCGCTGTATTTGTTTACTCGCTTGCCAGCGAATTTACTCATCCAGTTTGATTTAGTCATTAACCTTGAAACGTGTGACTTTATAATGTTTAATCTTTGCAAATTTATTTATCGAATGAAATAAATAAATTTATATGTAGGTTTTAAAAAATTTTTAACTGTATCACAAACTATTGGATTACCTTGTTTAGAATAGAATAAAATTCAAATTGATTTAAAATGGGCTTAAATAATTTTTGGAACGTTGAATCCGACCTAAATCTTTAAGCGATTTGAAAATTGGTTTTGATATTTTTTTCTATTTTGTTTTCTGATGAAAATACTTTTGATGTACACACAGGTGAATAATGAAGAATTAAAATGGTAAAAACCTAACTACTAATTGATCTAGAAATATATCTCAATCATTCTTGATTTTTTGGTAGTTTATGTTACCAATTTGATTTTAGAAAATACTAGTCATAGATAAATGACATAAATTGTATTTAGATTTAAGGTATTTTTTAAGCATAATTACTTTTAAGCTATTTATTTTTATGACGTAAAGTAGAGAAATATTGTACAATGAAAGAAGTTCATTTTATATTTAAATTAATTAAACAAAACAATAAAACTATAGTTAATGTATTTGTAAAAAAATATAATTGGATTCAATAAAAATGATGTTATATATTTTTTTTAATTCTTTAAAATGCCACATTGTCCCTGCCACTAATCTGTACATTACAGATGAGTTTAACTATTGCCCTGGATCTCACTAGCAGGGCCGACTAGAGGGGGGGCAGCCGGGACTAATTTCCGGGGCCCGGCAGCGATATAAGGGGGGCCCGGCAGCGGTATAAGGGGAGCCCGGCAGCGGTGGTGTTTGTTACTTTCAGAAGTTCGATAGAAGAGGGGGGAAGTTCTTAGTTGAGGACCATTTTTTAAAATAAATTCTAGTAGAGGAGGAGAAATTTTAGCACCTTTTGTTATTTAATTTTTTATAAAATTGTCACGGGGCCCAATCTGGAGAATTGTCCTGGGGCCCAATCAGGCTCTCGGCGGCCCTGCTCACTAGCTACGTTCTGGCCATCAGAATGACTTACCGAATTTTGTAAAAAATGTATATGAGAAGGTACCCTTATTGTTGCATGTGCTTTGTCAGCTAAGGGTGATCCGTTCTCTGCTTAGTATTGCGAACGGTGATGTACTAACACTGTTCTCCATACTTTCTTGGCTGTTCTTACTTTCGCGCGAGATAGGTTTTGCACCGTCTGGCGCAGTTGAAATTTTGCTGGAGCTCTGGATGCTCGTCTCTATTGTGGCTTTTTCAGGTTCTGACTTTGTGTCACTATTATTTCCTTTTGAAATTTTCTCCATACTTTTTTCCCGGCATGTCTTTTGTTAAACCCCCTTTGGAGCTGGACCTGGATTTATCTGATGCATGCTTTGCATTGGAATACTCATGTGTTTGTATGGATGATTTCTCCCATGACTTCGACTTCTGTGCTAAGATTTAGTGTTGGTACTTTAGTAAATTTTTCGATACGATCTTTATTTCTTCTGGAAAATAGGGTATCAAGGAAATCAGAATTTGTGGTTGATGAGGTGTCTTTGGCTACCCTTTTGGGCTCCGCCATAGGCGGTTGTGGGTCACTACGTAATCTATGGTCACTACCGAACCGATAAGAACTTTACCTGGCGTTCGAACGTAAACACAATTTTGAAAATAAGCAAGTTGTAGGCTATAAACCTGGTGGCCCGATACAGAACTAGAATCCGTAGCAAAATTATCGTACCCGTCCTTTGATAAGGTACAGAGGATTACTTCTAAGGAAACTCAAATAAACTTAACCTTATGAAGCGTATAATTTGTCTAAAATAAGATTGATAAAATAAACAAATTTTGTGTGATTACTCATTGTAATATAATGTAAAGAACATTGGCAGTCAAGAGTGGGAAGTGGGGTCGCCTTGAGTGCTATAGTGAGGTGAGGCTGTTAGTTGATGCTCACGCATTGTTCTTTTTGACTTAATTATTGAAAATTGTTATTATATATACAGGGTATTTCAGAATAAAGTACCGTAAACAGAAGACTTGTAAATCTTAACTAATTATTAAGAAAAGATAAATATAATTTTCCTGTAAACGTCCTAGTTTTCATTCTACAGGCCAGGGTGATAAAATGAATTTCATAAGTATTTCATTTTCTAAATATCTTCCCTTACGGTAAATATTTTAACTTAAAAATATGTAAATGTTAGTTAATCGCCATTATTAGTTAACACACTGTATTTCGATAAATTATGATAACCCATTGGCGTAGACTCACGTGCTAAGAAAACAATTTTAATTCAAACTTTTTGAACACCCTAGATTTTATAAAAGTTATGATTAATAATTATACCTCACGCAATTTGAACACGTAAAAGTGACTCTTGGTTGATCTCTGTAGAACATTCTACATTCCATTTTCGAGATTTTTCTCTTTTAGTCCTACTCACATGAAATATGTGTACAATTTTATCAAGGGCCGATTTCATAATGAATATTAAAAGGTCCATTAACTACTAATGGGATCAAGATCTTATGGACTTAGTTAATTGACCTTTTAGTATTGATTATGAAGTCGGCCCTCAATAAAATTTTGCATTTTTGGAAAATAGCTTTCATGTGTGAGTAGGACTTAAAATGAAATATCTCGGAAATGGAATATTTTACAAAGATCAACCAAGAGGCCCTTTTTTATGACAAATAGAAGACTTCTATATATGGAAAGTGTAACCAATTTAACAAAATAAAACTGACACTAGAGGCAGTTTTTTAGTTTAATTTTTGGTTTTTCTTACCTACTTTCATGCAATTTACATATCAAGTTGTACCCGTAAGGTAAAAAAGACTTTTTAGTTTAGGGTATTTTACATTTAAAGGTTGAAAATTTTATGTTGATAGTTATGATGGTAGAACACAGGCGTAACCCATAAATTGAACTTGTATTTGTAGCAGCAGCATTTTGCATTTGATATAAATAGATAAAACCAAATAAAATTTGTTTTAAAGAAACCGGGAGAAACACAAATAGACTATTAACAATAAGAAAATAAAACGCAATGTTACGCTTATGTTTTGACATTATCGACAGCTGATATTGATAAATGTCTTCAACCTTTAAATGTAAAATACTCTAAACTAAAAAGTCTTTTTTACGTTACTGGTACAATATGGTATGTAAATGGCATAAAAGTAGATAGGAAAAACCAAAATTGAACAAACAAACAGCTTTTTTATGTGACCCAGTTTCTTATGTCACTAGTGTCAATTTTATTTTGTCAAGTTGGTTGCACTTCCCTTTTTTTATGAAATATATGGCGTTCAAAAAGTTTGAATCAAAATTGTTTCCTTAGCCCTTGAATCTACGCCAATGGATTATCGTAATTTATCGAAATAAAGTGTAATAATAACTAACAAGTACATATTTTAAGTTCCAAGTCTTTATAGTAAGGGAAGATATTTAAAAAATTATGTATTTATGAAATTCACTTTATCACCCTGTAGAATGAAAACTGGGACGTTTTGCCTCAGAGTTTAAAAAAAATCCCTTTTCGTAAAGGGTGAGTTTTCGATAAGACGCCATGGGTTTAGGACAATTTTTTACTGTAAATACCTTAGGAGTACTTCTCAGAACCGTTAGTCGTACCTAATCTGTTTTTTAATGTCAGGCGTCACTTTAAAAAAAAGACAATAATGATATTTTTGTAAAATGAGGTTTTTCGATAAGACGCCAGGGTTTTAAGACTTCCAGTTTTTTACTGTAGGTAGACCTTATAAACTACTTTTTACAGCCACTAGTCGTTATCTGTCACGCCTTACTGTTTTTTTTTTAGAATTATTATTTTTTGGCATAGGGGTGGTTAAGTTCGAAAAAAATATATATTATTTTCCATTGGGGTTTTTTAATTAAAAATCATAAAGATAAGAAATAATAGTGAATGGGTTTTTTTTCGTGATTACCCAAAAATAAAATGTTTATATCCTACCTTGGAATCCTAGGTATTTATTTTTCTTCACCTTTATTCACTATCACTCTGTTTCTACATCTTGTAGTTTTTGCACTAATATTTCACTGTCACTAAATATGTCACTAAATAAAATACGATTTTTACCTTTCGAAATAATTTTTTCTTTAAATGTCGGCATTTTATTTAAAAATATTATGAAGACTAGAGATAAGGAGGCGAAACGGCATACTCGAAATACGGTCCCAAAAACGCCGTAAACGAACGCTAATTGAACTTTTTTAATTCACCACAAGGGCGCTGGTGCGACTACCGCAGTTCTAAATACATGGCTTTTTATGGGAATTTTACATAATTTTGTCAAAATAATAAAAATAAACTTGTTCATTGCCAAATAAAGCACAAAATATACTATTGTATTTATTTCTAAATAAGTCTCGCATGTTTTAATTGATAAATTATTTAATATCTATATAAAATGCAATTTAGTTAGGTATGACCCAATTCGAAAAGATTTGTTAAATGGTGAAATTTGGTAAGTACAATTTTGTGTCTAAATTTTTTTTGAATTATACCTAAATATAGTAGTTAAGAACAAAATAAAATACAGTTAATAAATTTTTTATTGTTATAATACAAGCATAAAGAGAGATTTGGGAATGTATATGATATTGACACATCCTTTATTTTCGGCTTTCCTCTTTTTAGTTTGCTAACAGTGCCATTAGTAAAACGAGTCTCGTAATATTTGGAAATATCTTCTAAAAAAGTGTAGAACAGCATCATCTCTAGAAAATGCTTTATCGGCACTAGGAACGATATATATATGCTGCCACTGTTCTAAGCGTTTAGGATCCTATAAAAACATTTACAATGACAAAATTGGGGTTCAACAAAAAAAATAACAGTAGCAACTCTTTATCTAACATTAAAACTCTAGAAAAAAACAAATTTTCTTTTCTAGTAAGTTAAATTTAATGTATAATTATTGTTGTTTGTAAGTTAGGATCTATGACTGTAAAATTTCATTTTATAGAAAATAAAATAAACTACACTCCGTAATACGTGTTGTGACTAGTTGAGGTGAGTACCTATTTTTTACTAAAAAGTTTTACTTGAGGATCTTTTTTTAGAAATGTGCATGATATCGAATAAACAGCTTAATTTTTTTATAAAGTTGTATCGGTGCCCCACCTGGCTCTTGGCAGCCCTGCTCCTACTGTCAACAGGTCGGCAGAAACAATTAGGCATTCCAACGACCTGTCCAAATGGCTACCAGTGGGTAATGACAGTTTAGATATGGCAACCCTGTTGTCATGTTGTCATTAACAGGGTCAATGATACATATATAGTTATATAGATTGCTCAAAGCTGGTCGTTTACGAGCGGCCATATTGCCTGGCAAATATTTATTAATTTGAATCGGTTTAGCAAAAATGTGTTTTAAAACCAATTTTTAGCCTTTAGATATTTAAAAAAAATAATTGCTTACATTTTTATTTCAAGGCATACGCTTATGTTTATTTTGAAAAATATGGATAATCAATCTATGTAACTATCTATTTCATTGACCTTGTCAAATCACCAGCAGGGTTATTCTACTAAATTTATAGCCCGGCTACAAGTTTATAGCCCGGCTACAAGTTGGATTTTGAAGTAGGAATATATAAAGTTCAAGCCAAAATCCAACTTGTAGCCGGGCTATAAATTTAGTAGAATAACCCTGCAGGTCTACAGGGTTGCCATAATTTTGCAATATCATAACCCGTCAAAGCCCACTGGTAGGCATTCAGTTTGGAATGCCTAATTATTGCAATGATTTTCTTGTATAAATGAGGTGAACCACCCACCAGTTTTTGGTGTTTCTTTACACCTATATTGAACTTGTCGGTATAAAAGTATAAATAAATGAGTATATGCTACAGGGTATATTTAATACTTATCTGTAGAACAACAGCGAAGAATAATTACCTATCTAAACTTTTTTGAAAAAATGAATTTTTACTATATTTTATTAGTATTGATTATTTAATTTAAGCAATAAATAATGTAATATTGAATATACTAGAATATTTTTTAGCAAAGTTTTTAAAAATACGTAACATATGAGTATATTTCATTTTCAAACATATTGTTGTGATTTAAAACTGAATAGAACTAAAGAATAAAAAAATAATTATACTGAATATACTTTCTGTGCACAAATAAGCTGATATTTGCAAGATACAATGTAAAAAACAACAGTTTAAATAAATATACCTCTCATAAATTATATTTCGTTAATCAAATGTTGTTGATAGAATTTTAAGTTTCCACAAAAACTCAAAATTTAAAAGAACGAGCGGTATTTGAAAAGATTATTTTTTAAATCCTTCTGTATGAAAAATACACAAATTTCCTTTAATAGTCTAAAAATATAGCAACAACGTATTACTACATTACTGCCGGACATGCGCAAAAATGCGGCGACATAAAGTAGATTACTTTCCTTTCGGGAATTTGACATTTGCCAAATTTTAAACTTTTTATTGTGATTTCGGATCATAAACTATAAAATGGAATAAAATCTGCTTAATTTAGCTCGTTTGGAACTGTTTATGGTCTAAGATCCGAAGTAAGGTCGATATTCAACCATCTGTTTAACGGATGAAAGTTTCTTTTTATTAAATAAAATATGTTTATAAATATACCGCAAATGGGTTGCCTAAGAAAATACGGTAATGACTATTTATTTTGCTATAAACATATGGATAAGCAATCTATTATGTTCAATTATCATTGATTTTTGACAGATCCATTTAAGTCTTCTTTTTTTAAATTTATTCCCGCTCCGCCTGCATTATTATTTGTCTTTAATGAATAACAAGACTAATCTTGTAAAAAAAGGATATATTAAACTATTACAGCTCCTAAGTAATTGAAATACGGCATCTTTTACTTCTCCAACCCGTAACTCCATTTAATTTTATATATAAAAGTTGTGTTGTGGTGTGTAATGTCAAAAAAAAAAGTATACGTCAAAGTCAAAACAGTCAAAACATAGGTGGTGGTCTTTTTACCCTTACCAATATTCAATGCAGCAATTAATTGTAATATTTAATTATATATAAGTTTATAATTTAAGTTTTTATAATTATGTCTACCAGAAAACGTAGTGGCTCCGGTTCTAAAAGACAATTTAAAGAAAAAGTAGTACAAATATATGAATGCCTATTTAAAGGCGAAGACGTATCTCATCAAAATGCTTTGTTTTGGGAAGAATTCTTTTTGCTGAAACCTAAAGTAGCTACAATTGAAAACGAAATACAAAAACTCTCTGCAGAACAGTTGCAGGTGTCCAAACAAAATATTAACCTCCTGTTCAACCAGTGTATAGAAATTTTGGACCAACAAAATATAAGGGTTGCTTATGGATTACTGACTTTATCTACACTTTTGCATGCTATTTTTAAAAAAGGATTAGATGGGCAAATAGAGGCCGTAGAATTTTTAATGGGATTTGAGAATTTGGTGTCAAAAACTCAAAAATTGTTAAAAATATGTCAAAATTTTCTTGAAGGTATTTACAATGTACTTTTAATATAATTCATAGTAGTAGTGATATTCTGGGCTAATTATAAGATAGATTTTTTTAGGTGATTCAACAGAAGCAGTGAAAGCACTATGCCTGAAAGTAATTCTTATTTTAACTACAGGACTGGATTCAATCAATCAAAATACACTCATAGAGTATATAATGATAACACCTCTATTTGAATGCCTTGTTAAACTGTTATGTGATGTGCCTACACGGCAAAGACATGGTTATGATGTAGTGTTGATTATAACCCTCCTTGTAAATTACAGAAAATATGATAATACAAATTCTTACGTGGTTAAACTTTCGATTTTAGGTATGCTATCAAAATTATAACATTTTATTCATGCAGTAATTTTCTGTAATATCAATTTTAGATGATGAATTAGCTCTAAATGGTTATGGACAAGTAATAACATCTTCATTATCAGATTTTTGTAACCAGTATAATTCAGAACATACTGAAACTCAAAATGCGTCTTGGTTTTCATCTTTAACAAACATTGTTGGCAATATGTTCATATCAGAAGAAGGTGGCTTTAGAATGCAACAAGTTAGAGCAAACAATGCCTTGTTGTTAGCATTTTATGAAGCAGTACACCTTAATCGAAATTTTATCACTACTTTAGCACAAACTCAGACTGATTCTAGCTCACCTCCCTCTCCTAATAACACATTGAGTAATGTACAGGGTGTGCCTGATTTAACTGGGGCACCAGCTACTTTTGATATTACAAGTCAGCCTTCAAATTTGTTAGTTACATTTTTTCAGTATTGGTAAGTTTTATTTAGGATCTTAAGGTTGTAGCTTGTTAGTGTAAGTAATAATAATATTTATTAATGCCAGAAACAAATATACAGAAAAAATACATATAAAATTGTATGGTATAAGTCAGAAGCCTGGATAATCTGTACTAGATTGATGACCTTATAAAGTGCACACTGGGGTGACTTAAAAATGAATGTAGTGGTGCATTTGCTAAGAAATATGGGGAAACCCATATTACCATTGAAAACTAGTATAGATTTATGTCGATTTCACAAAGTATTTACAAATAATAATTACAATCACTTCATTTATATCATCTAAGCTGTAAGGCTCAATAGAAATCAAAATTTGTTTGATCTTATTTTTGAAAGCTGATAGGCTCTTAGTATTTTTTAAAAGATCAGGAAGGATATAAAATTGCAAAAATTTTGTAACAGCATCCCTTTTCCAGTAGGATAGTTCTATGCGTCGGTAGACAAAAAATATTTCTAAACCTTGTGTTGTGAAGGTGGTCTGCTATATATTCATTAAATATACTTTTATTTTTATACACAAACATAATACACTCATATGCATTACTAGCATATACTGTCAACAAATTTTTAGATTTTTAAAGTGACCTCTACATGATTCTGTAAGCTTTAGATTAGCCAATATTCGAATTGCTCTTTTTTGTATTATAAAGACTTCTTGACAGTGTGAACCTCCCCAAAAAATAATTCCATAGCACATTGAGGAATAGAATAGACCATAATACACTGATATAAGAATGATCTATGACTTTTTTAACTTGTTTCAATGCAAAGCAAACTCTGCTGAGCCTTCCACAGAGTGTAGAGGTTCCACCCAAGTTAGATGCTCATCAATTATTGTGCTGAGAAATTTTGTCAATTTATAATATTCTAGTAGAAATAGAATTTATTCATCTTTGAGAATTATACACTATACAAAGACACTAGGTACATAATGTAAAATCCTATCAGACTAGTCAAAAAAGTGTTAAATAAAATACATTAAAAAATAAAATATATATAATAGACAATTCATGTTAAGATTAGTTTAAAAGTTCAAAAAATCTTCTATACTATAAAATACATTATTTACAAAAGATCATTAAGATATTTTCTTAAATCATTACGACTAATTTGATGATAACCTGTAGTATCTTCTAATATGTTACTGAACTTATGGTAACACTTAATCCCAATATATTTTGGTAAATGTTATTTGTAGTAGCGAAAAAGGTTGATGGATGTTAAATTTTAATCTAGTATCATATGAGTGCAGGTCTTTATTTTTCTTAAATATATGCTCATTATCTTTTATGTATAAAATTAGTTGAAAAGTAAAAAGGGAAGGTAGTGTTAAAATTTGCGTTTTCTTGAAAAGTTCTTTACATGATGTTGTTGGTGTCACCTTATACATGGCTCTCAGAACCTTCTTTTGAGATACAAAAGCTCTTTCAAAGTATGGTGAAGAACCCCAAAATATTAACCCATATTGTAGAGTTGAATGAGCCAAACCAAAATAGCATAGTTTTAAAGTATCAAAAGATAGTGTCTCCCTTAATTTTTTGATGATACAACAAGTACTTAATTTTGAAGTTACCATTTTTATATGAGCTTCCCATTTTAATTTGGGATCTAATATTCCTAAAAATTTTATGTCATCAACGCTTGTTGTTTGTTGACATTTAATGCCAGACCGTTATCTTTACAATACTGGTTAAACTCACGAGATGCCTCGTTGCTACATTGAGTGACCTGTTCAATTTGATCATCTGCCATTACAATATTGGTATCATCAGCATATTGAACTATTTGTTGAGAGCTTAAACAAAATTTACTTATATCACTTATAAAAACTACAAAAAGAAGTGGGCCCAAAATTGAACCTTGGAGAACTCCTATTGTACATGGAAGAGGATGAGATTTTAGACTATTTGTTACAATTACTTGAGTTCGATTTATTAAGTAAGACTGTATCCATTCATAAGGTTTCCCTCGTATTCCTAACCCATTCATCTTCAATAATAAAAGATTATGATCGACCATATCAAATGCACGGCCAAGGTCATAGAAGAGTCCCAAAATATGTTTTTTATCATTGAATGCTTGATATATAAACTCTAGGCAAGCTGCAATTGCAGTAGATGTTGACTTATTTTTTCTAAATCCATTTTGAGTATCTGGCAACATATTAAAACTTTCAAGGTAATTAATGAGTCTAATAAAGTATGCTGACTCAAATATTTTAGTTATTTGACTAGATATCCAGATTAAATGATAATTTTCTATAACCCTTATTTTTATAAACAGGAATTCCTTTAGAATCCTTCATATTTGGGAATAATCCTGAAACAAAGGATTCATTAATCAAATGTGATATGGTTTCAGCAATACAATGAGCAACCGATAACAGAATTTTACCATTTATTTCGTCAATACCTTCAGTGGGTTTAGAAGTAGTTTTTTTTATTATAGTGATGATTTCACTAGGAATTGTTGGAAAAAGAAAAAAACTTTTATGTTTATCAATACTCATAGTATAAGTAGTTAGGTACCATATTATTTTTATTTACATTAATAAAATAGTCATTGATATAATTTACTTTTTCTAAGGGTGTTAATTTGTCATTATTTGTAAGTTTAATAGGATTCAATAAGTTGTTTTTTCTTTTTCCCCTACTCTCATTTATTATATTCCAGGATTCTTTCATTACGTTATTACTTTTTAAAATACGATCATTATTTTTTCTTCTCAAATATTGTTTTGTTATTTTTTGATACTCTTTTTTTAAATTATTGTAACGTTCTGTATAATATGTAGAATTTATTTTTCTTTAACCTGTTCATTTCACATAATAGATTATGTAACTCTTTAATATGAGGTGGAAACTGATTTTTTTAATTTTTGTGGTTTTATCGCTTTCTTTGTTTTCGTAAATACAATATTGTAGTGGTATAGGAATGATTCATAAAAGATAGAAAATTTATCATTAAAATTAGTAGATTTGTATACTTCACGCCAATTTTCAACTGATAAAATATTTATAAAAGTTATTGCGTTAGGATCACTTAAATCTCGTTTATATCTGTATTTACATTCGTTATTTTCAAAATTAGGTAGTTTAATCGAACATAATAAGTAGTTATGATCAAACAAAAAAAGTATCAGATACACCCACCTTATCTACATCAAAATTGGTAAAAAAATTATCTAAACAAGTTGAGGTTGTACTTGTTGTTCTCATTGCAACATTTATATGATGTTTAATATTAAATTCCTTCAATAAGTCAATTAAAACAGTTTTTTGATTACTTTCAATCAAAAAATCTACGTTAATATCACCACAGATAAAATAGTGATTGTCGTTTTGATAATTATTATGAATTAATAGCTCTAGCTGATTTATAAAAGTGCTAAACTTAGTACAAGGTGGCTTATACACAGTAATAATAAATAAAAAAAGTTTAGAATCGATCTTTATTTTTCCACCACATACTTCAAATTCACCTTCTATACACCACCTATGTAAATTAATTGATTCAAAATTTGGAGCAATACTTGTTTTCATAAATATACTAGCACCACCTTTTTCTTTATTTATCCGTGAAAATATGATACTAGCTTAAAATCGTCAATTGAGGTAGCTTGTAAATTGTTAGAATCAAGCCAATGTTCAGTAACACATAGAATACTTACATTTTGTTTCTGTAAAATTAAATTTAGATCAAAGCATTTATTGGCAAAACCTCCCTGTATTATGATATGCATTAAAGTAATATTTAACTGTTGGGAATTCCAAATAGTAATTCATTATTTTCTTTCAAAAAGTGGTTTTCCATAGTAGTCCTTGAGGTCCCTATTTTATCAAGTTTGAAGTAGAGGCTAGGTTTGAAAAATTTTCTTCACTCTTATGCGATCTCTGGTTTTGTGAATCTTCAAGAAATTGCTGACCTTGTTTAAAGTTGAATCGGGAATAAATTATATTTTTCGGCCAAAAATCTGATTTACATATTTGCTCCTGAAAATGAGGATCTATTCCCACTAGAAAAGCTTGATTATTCTGTCTTACAAAATATGTGTCTAGTTTCTTCACATAAATGTCTTCGCGTTTGTGCGTTTATGAATGTATTTCTTAACATTCTCTTCATTTACAGTGTCTGATACTCTAGATACAAAGAGCCAAATTTTTTTGTTTGATTTTTCCCTTCCTTTAAAATCATCATCACCTTCTCCACTTCCCATAATTGTTTTGATTTTTCTCCTTTGCCGTCTTGTTACTGTGATATAATCATTGTCATGACTCCCCCCATTGGTATCATCTGCTAGATTTATTATTTCATTAGTTTTTTGTAGGGTTTGAATTTTCATTAGTTCTAATGCAACTTGTTTCCTTTGGAGGAATGAGTCATCCTGTACAGGGGCATTCCTATAATCGCTTGTGTTTGTTTGGTGTTAAATGTTTATTTCCAACAGGTATACTCTCACTTTCAGTTTTTGTTTGTTTTGGTTTTTCTATAAAAACTGGTCTTTTATTATCACTGATAGATAAGTTTTGATTTTTATTGTCAACTCTTATAAATTTAGGATTTATTTCGTTATATTGTGTTTGCAGATCAGAATATTTCGTTTTTTCATTTTTAAGTTCAACTTTTAAGATTTCTATTTTTTCATTCATTAATTGGTTTGCTAGTTTTTGTTCTGCTTGTACTAGTAATTTTAAAAAGTTGTAAGCGTCAATGCAAAATACATCACCTTTACTTTTTTCTTGATCCATAGTCTTAGATTTTTCAATAACTTTTGGTTTACAGCATCTTATGATAGCATTTACTCTTTGTGCACACGATGGATGATAATTCAAGCCCCAGATTTCACATTTTACACTAGCTGTTACTGATTTTTTACAATAATTACACTCGTCAGTTTTGCGCGTGCGGTTCAGTCGGCGCCATCTTAATAGTAATGCATTACATAAGTTAATATCCTCTGGATATTCATTTTTATTATGACTGTACTTGAAAAGTATGCAATTAGGTTTAGATAAATTTAATAATAGCGAGTTTTGACCAAACCTTTTTTAAATTCTCTCTACAGCATTTGAGGTATCTTTTTCAAGTACTTTGTAATTAGTGAGAGCTACAGAGTAAAAATTTTTGGTAAATCGTTTAGATATAATACAAATAAAATAGGACCTAAGACACTTCCCTGTGGGGAACACCCAGCATAGTATTTTTTGATTCAGAATAATATTCACTATTGTCCTATTTGTAACATAAGATTGAAACCAGTCATATGTATTACATCGCACCCCCATTTTGTATAATTAATTAAGTATATGGTGATTCACACAATCAAAAGCCTTTGTTAAATCTAAGAAAAGTCTGTCAACAATATTTTCCGAATTTAAAAAGTGTAAAATTCTCTCAACAAAATTGAAGACTGCTGTTGTAGTTGACTTACCACTTTGAAACCCATGCTGCTTACTTGTGATAACATTATTTATTTCTAAAAATGGCAATAGCACATATCAATTTCAAAATTTTTGGTCTATAATTTTCTACTAGGGAAGGATCTTCTTTTTTATGAATAGGTATTACAACAGCAGTCTTCAATCGTATTGGAAAAATACCAGATTTAAAGGACCCATTGAGGATATAGCATAGCACATACTTATTAATAATAATAAATCTTCTAATTTACCTTCTTATCAGTGAATTTTAACCTTTGAAGCTGACTGAGCTTGTGTGGGGAAGGGTCAGTTATTATTATTATTTGCTGTGGCGCTCTCTAGGGCGACTTACAGATGTTTAATATTTGACTCACAGGTGAGGAAAACCACACCCACAGCACAGACCACAATCACAAGTACTTATTTCTTTAGAATATCAAATTTTATATCTGGCTTTTCTACATAAAAAACAAAACTTAAGTAACTTTAGTATTGACAAGAATGCAATTGTAATTGTGTCAAAATTCTTGAACATTTTTTTTTGAGGTTGTGGAAAATTTTCCTGTGGCAGGATAGTTTTTTTTGTTCTTACATGTGACTCACATTTCACTTGGGCCTCTATTAATTAATTCTTAGTAATAAGGAGCAAGTCTTTACACACTGAAACTGTGTTCTTTGATTGTTTAATCTACAACAAATTTAATTAATTTTTCCCTTATTTAAACCATCGTTTTAGCTCAATAGTAATGCAAGATACAAAGACTGAAGCAGGAATGAATACTGTAAAATTATGTTTCCTCATCCTTAGCTGTATAACCGAAGATCAATATGCAAATTCCTTAATGCATGATGTGACTTTAGCTTTCAAAGTAAGACTGCACAGGTTTCCGATGAGACATCGTAAACTTGCTTCTGATAAAACTACTTCCAGCCAACCATTAGTCTGCACGCTTTTAGGTAACCACTACGATATGACAGTGACGTTATTCTTTACATTGACATCATCTGTCAATGAATGTGTCAAAGAGTAAAAGGGCAATTCTAATGATAATGAATAAAAATATTTTTTTAGATTTATTAGTGGAGTTCGTACTGAGTCATATGATGAAAAAATTCCCAATGGAACTTTACCTTTTATGCACCGGGGTCTTACAAAGGGTACTTTGTTATCAGAAAAAGTGTCGAATAAGATTAAACTATTCTTGGAAAGATTTATGGACCGCCCTCATATCATTGCTCCGATTCATTTTGCAGAACGAAAATTATTTGGGCAAGAAAATTAACATATTTGATCTTTCAATTAAGATTGTCAACATATTGAATTTTTTTATCACTTACGGCGATAACTTTTTACCCACCCCTGGTAGCTACGATGAATTGTATTACGAAGTAATAAGAATGCATCAAGTTTTCGATAATATTTATTCTATGGGTAAGTAGTAAATACTATTTTCTACAATCAGTATATAAATGATAGCTTTGTTGCTACATTTTAAAAACACTCACCTAAATGTCGGTTGGCTTTATTTCTTATAAAATTTAAGTTGTAATCTTGAATTTGATTATGAGACAGTTGATAGGAGGACATAATTCCACATATTTTTCAAGAATGAATGTTTCATTTAGGACATAAGATTAAAGGTATTTCAATTACTTTTTTTGTATTAACTACAAGAATTACTTCAACAGGGCTTTTACCATCGCAGTGGTAGAAGCCCACCAAATGGCCACTTCCTATAAATTGGAAAGCAATAACGAGCCTAAGCAAGGTACAAAGACTTGCCTGCCTCGGAATAACGGGGGCAATGAAAACAACCCCCACAGCTGCAATTGAAGCACTAATAGGACTCCCACCTCTTCACTATGCGATACAAGGGGAGGCAAGATTAGGGAATACACTGGGAAATCTTGACAATAGGCCAGATCACATGAGTATCTCAAGGTTAGTGACAGGAGACGTGCTAGACATGATATCAGACCACATAACCAAGAGGTACTCTTTTAATACTCCATTTGAGGTTTTAATACAGGAAAGAGCGGAGATCACCATAAGGGAGCCCAATGCCCAACGACAAACCTGGTATACAGACGGGTCTAAGACTGCGGAAGGCACTGGGGCGGGAGTATTCTCCAAAAATCCTGATACTAACCATAGCTATGCTATAGGAATACATTCCTCGGAATTTCTGGCCGAGGTATACGCAATTTTGCAATGTGCAAAAACGAACAATGAAAGAGCTGTCGAAAATCAGCATATTCAAATAATATCAGACAGCCAAGCGGCACTTAAGGCCATATCGAGTCAAAAAGTTACGTCGAGGTTGGTATGGGAATGCATCGAAGAACTTAGAACACTGGCAGACCAAAAAAGAGTAAAATTATTTTGCCAGGTCACCAAGGGATCGAAGGCAACGAAAAGGCTGACGAACTTGCAAAAAGAGGGTCAGAAGAAACACCGGAACCAGACACAAACCCAGGAGTACCAAAAAGTACAGTCCGGGGTTTCATAAACGACTGAATTCGGGAACAACATATTAACTATTGGGGAAGCACTCTAAAACAGGCACATGGAAAAGCCAAAAGAACTGGAGAACTATTCTTTATGAATAGGAACCAGTTGAAAGTGATAACAGGATTCCTGACTGGACACGCCCCAGTAAAGGGAAACTTGAACAAAATTGGCATGTACAATGGGGAACTCATGTGCCGACTATGTCACAAGAAACCAGAAACGGCCAAACACATACTGTGCGAATGCGAAGCTCTAGATCGCAAAAGACAGGGACTTTTTGGACAACCACAGGATGACCCAACAACGTATAGAACCCACTCACCCAAAGATCTGTACAAACTTGTACAAGGTACAAAGGTGACAGAGTGGGTGCTATGAACTAACATGGGGTAAAACACAATAAGCCAATAGGCTTCAGTGCGAGGCTGGCTATCCCTAAAAACCCCCCAACCAGCAGAAGATGGTTGTCTCTAGACACCTCTCAACATAATGGGCCTTATGAGGCCTAAGTACTATGGAGCAACCTGCTCTCTCCACCTTACAGATGGAGAAGTAATTGACCATATTTTTTTTTATTGTAAATGATAATTATATTTTGTTTAAAAACATGGGCGTTTTGAACTCACTACTTAGTCTCAGATTTATTTTAATTATAAATATAACAAAATCATAAAATGTCCAAGGTAAGTGATAAAACAAAAATAGAAACATTTTCTTTTCATACCATCCTTAATATACTCATCGCAATATATTATGAATGGTTATGAAAGAGCAAAAACACTTTGTTAAGTACATCTGTAATAAAAAAGTAACATGTTATATAGGTTACTTTTTAAGATATTGTTACACTGGCTTTTGGTATCACAATTTATTTCAATTAAACTTTAACAATAACGATTCAACTGATAACATTAACATGTAACGTCTATCATAAAACTGACGTCAGGATCATCCTTATATAGCTTGCTTGACCCTTCTCGAACTGTCATCTAGAATATTCTTGACGGGTAATGACATTTCTGGAAATATTCTATCTTCTTTTACTTGTACTTTTACCTATGACGACCGCAGCACACTGTAGGGCAATGAGTAACATTCCACTTCTTTTTCTATCTGTACGTTTCTTATAATAGTCGCAGGGTGCTGCGTAACAATATTTTAATTTAAAAGTTTGATAGAATATTTGTATTCACTGTGAAAACTCAAGCTACCCATGACTGAAAAGTATGTGGAATTATGTAAAGATTAGAAAGTAGGCAATATATTATGAATGATACACAATTATACACATACTATTTTTACATAAGTACTTTATTTTTATAGATGTAGAAAAATGTTGCACATAGTAGGTTATTTCAAATGAAATGTCATTACGCTCTGCCCCGCTATGATGGCAAATTTCTGTCTCAAGCACTTTCTTCTCTTAATACAACTAATGGCTATTTCTTGGTACCAAGTGGATAAAATTATATTTTTGTATCTCTAGCTTTAAGATATTCAAGTGGAGATGGAGACTTCAAAGAAGATGCTCTTAGATTGAATAATACCCTTTTCAATGTCCGTGCCATTATAAAACACTTTAATCCCAAAATAGAACAATGGTTGGCGTCAGCTAATCTGTCGACTCCAAGCGAGGAACAAATTTTAGAAATTGTAAAGAAAAATTATGATAGTTTGACTTTAAAACTACAAGATTCCTTGGATCACTACGAAAGGTATACAGAGAAACCGCAGTACGCCATATTTTTTACCAATATGGTTAAAACAATACTTTCAGATACAAGAAATAATACTAGTTGTTCTTTATTAAATTTTAACACGATTTCTAATGAATATCCTGTAATATAATTAAAAGTTAAATACATATATATTTTGTTTTAAAAACTGTGTTTCTTTTTAGTTCACTAAGAGCCACTTTACAGGTACCAATATGGAATACTACAACTAGAATTGCACAATTCTCGAGAGGTAAACCACTCCCGAAATACTGCTACGTTTTCACTCGAAATCACCGAAAATCACGGTCGTCGCTCAATGCAGCAGCTTGTGGATCAAAAGACAAGAGAGTAGTCCAAAATCACAAAAAAAAATTTAGGTAATTACTGATATATGGGTACGTTTTGACCAGAACAAGAGAAATTGCTGTCTGTATTACATTTTAATAATTATTTGCTAAAAGTTTGCCAACTTAAGTCACTATGGACCGATTCCACCGTTGTGTTAAACGAAGTTTAAAATGACATTTTTACATTAACAATGTCATTTTAATCTCCGTTTAACACAACGGTGGAATCGACCCTAAATAAAGCCTCGGTTTATGTATTATGAATAGAAACGAAAGATACTAAAATCGACGCAAAAAAATTGGTTGCGTTGTTGTTGTTATTATTATTATTGGAAGAGAAAGAATAAGACGAACTGGCAATTGCGACCGTCAAAGTGGATAAGTTGTTTTTAAGTCGCAATACAGAAGCCTTTAATCACTGTGCAGCGGGTAGGAATGTGCACGAGCAGGCTCGGTTCTTGCTTGTATTGCTCGAGCGGAGCTCCGAACAGTACGACCAGTCCAATGCCCGAGCGGCTCCTGTATAATATTCGCCTCGAGTATCGGCTCGACCCTCGAACGATCCGAGTGTTCCGTACTCCGAATCATTCGAACTCTCGGTAATGAACTTATCATCGAGTAATTTTTCCATACCTAGTTGCATATTATTTAATAAAACCTCAATCGTCCCTTAGTGTGACTCTGTAAAAGCAGCCTCGTCAGAGAGATCACGTGTACAAGGTGTGATAATGTTTTCGAGCACTCCATTGCTTAGATGGACAGAGTTTATGACTAGTTTCTTATTCGAAATATCAAATAATTTTCATTTATTCGAATGAAAAAATCCTATATACTTACTGTAAACGTAAATAAAGTCAAAAACTTATTCTTATCACACTTATATTACGGGGACCGAAACACATTAATCACTTTTCACCACTAAATGTAATGTTAAATGATTCATTCAGAGTACGGAACGTTCGGATCATAAGAGACTCGAGCCGTACCGGTACGCGATGCGCTCGTATTGTTCGGAGCTGCGTTTTAGCGTGCTCGAGCTGCAATTTTTCGAGCTTGATCGCGAGCGCTCGTACTTTACAAGCTCGTGCACATCCCTAGCAGCGGAGGCTTTTTGCAAATGAAACCAAATTTAGGGATCTTTTTGAATTCGTGTTGAATTTTTTAAAGGAAGGCATTTCCAGGAAACCTACAAATAAAGTCAAAAAGGCATCTGTATGTGTGACTTTGTCACTCAGTGTTTTAAAAATAATAACTATAAAATGATTTGAATTCACAAACTGACTCCGCACACGTCGACGATTCCGCTGGGGGCCTATTCTCCAGTTGAGAGAATGATCATTTCATGCGAACTGGACAGCCGTTCTCTTAAAAAGTGTGAGTGGTATTCCTGAATTGAAGTGAATGATCACTTCGCATGAAAATCGAGAGAACATACTTCTCTTAGTCAAAACCATCATTTTGGGAGAACTGTCATTGTCGTGCGCTATCAAAACGTCACTTTTTTAATTAAAATGGATTTGGACGAAGCTCTTATTTATATTCATATTTTGAATGATCTAGCTGAAGCGGAAGAAGGTGCCAATCGACCAAATAGAATTTTTTTAAGAAAAGAGGACTTTAGTGACCGAATATTCATAAAAAATGTTTGTCTAAGTAAACTTTTGGGACGGGATTTAATAGAAAATAATGGAAAATATAATCTGATATTACAATTGTCAAAAAATAATAAAAAAATTGAAGTAAAGTGCCTTCTAAAATAGTTTTAACGCACAACTTAAATTTGGCAGCGGTGCTTCGTGAACCTATGAAATGTGAATGATTCAAGAATACCGAATACGATGACCGAGAGAACAAATTAGTGATAGGACACTTCACATCCCACAGTGGAATGTTCACATCGTTCAACTTGGAGAATAGGGCCCCTGGTATCAAACTCAACAGATATGAACCGACTAGTCGCAAAAAATCAGCGGCATGACGCCGTCCTGCTCAGCTAAGCGGATTCAAGAAAACCGTTTCCATTTAAATACTCTGGTTGGATAAAATCGTCAAAACGCGACGCTCGACGGACTGTCCGCTCACCGCGACGTAGTGTTCAAAGGAACCAAGGCTTAACTTAGTTAAGGAAAGGGCTAGCTTCGTTTTAGAAAAAATACCATTGATTATTTCCCTCGCCTGTCAGATTTGAAATTTTAACCAATCACATCGCAATTTACGTTATCGTTAGAACCAATCAGAAACAAATAAATCGACTATTTTCACTGACTATCCATGCATGGTGCTCGATATTCACCTCGCTAAAGCTCTGACTCTATTCAGATTATTAATGACACAGCTCCCAGCAGTAATAACCATTGGATGGATGGGAAAGACAATATCGTCGGTCTAAAGCACACTTATTGTATATCCAAAAACGCATTTTGGACAATCGCAAATTTAAACTTCTAGAAAGTGTAATTAAATGCCTTCTCAGTTTTAATTTGAATTTATTGTAGTTTGGTGGGTGTTGGAGCTACAATATTTGTGCCCAATAAAGAAGACTAAAATGCGATTTAATTGGTACCAAGATCGTTATAACATTAAATTTGGAGTTACAATATGTGTGCTTTAGACCGACGATATAAATATAATTTTAATAACTAAAACTATACAATTGTCATGATTCCGTCAGGAGACTTTTAATGTCATGTTTTCGTTCTGTATCGTTGGCGTTGATAAGTTATTCGGAACTGCCTTAGAGTTCTGACTGCAATGGTAGTGGGATTTTGAAATTTTAATTTGGGGGCTGTCATTACTTTTTAGATTGTCAATTACAAAAGAAAAGTTAATATTACAATAAGATGTTAAAAAGATTGTAAAGAGAAGATAGAAATAAAATAGTTATCCTTGCAGCTGGCAAATAAAAACTAAAATAAGAATTTTTTAAAGTAACATTATGTTGCCAAATAGTTCGACATAATAGTCGATCATGGAGAACAGCCTTTTTTGCAGTAAATTTCATCTAATATAAGTAATTTCATAATTTTCTCTGAACTTTTTCAATTAGGTCAATATTATGTCTAGGCCTCCATACCTCAGATGCATAGTCCAGTTTCGATCAAACAAAGCTGTTATATAACATTTTAATGTGGAAATATTGGAGAAATCTTTGCAGCTTCTTATGACAAGCCCTAAGCTTTTATTGGCAGACGACTTTATCGATTCAATGTTTATTAAAGGTAAGCTTAGGATTAAAATATACTCTTACAAACTCTTGATATGTTACTGTTAAGAATAATATTATGCAATTTATAATTAAAAGTAAACAGTTAATCTGGTGAAAGACAACAGAAAATTTTTCTGTATTTTGACATCAATTTGCTACATCAGTTAGACACTGAAGAAGTTTGCAGTTATTCATTGAACGAATTTTTACTAATAGTTTTAGATCATCTGCATGCATTAAAACCTTTAATCCATTGATGTTAACAATATCATTCATGAATATAGTAAAGAGAGGAGACCCAAAAATTGGTCCTTACGAACTCCTGATAACTTTTGGAACTGTTCTGATCTATAATGACACTGAACATTCTTGCACATTTACTGAACTTAACTTTGTTTTGACAATCCTGCACCATATTGACATAGACAAGTAATAAAATAGGTTAAGCTAATGAAATATGTCTTTGATAATAAATATTTTTAATAGTACCTAGTTATTTTAAGACAATAGATTAAATATGATGAATTGAGATTTTTAATCTTAACAAGTAAAAGGAACAATTTTTACTACAATTAGTAAGATTTTCTAGGCAATAAATACGAATGAACATAATGAGTATTTTAAATAACTAATTTCTACTTATTTTCCTGTTTAAGTCCTGCAAAATAACTCCTTTCCCATATTTCTTTTTCGACAGCTTTGTCCATGGCTGTTAAAAATTCATTCAAATTTGAAAACGAACCATTTAAATACAATGCATGCGCTAAAAATGGAATTTTTCTTAGAGATCTTCCACTCAATCCCAAACTTTTTTTGCATAAATCTAATAGCTGTTGTGTTTCTGCTGAATGTGGCTGATCATTCATAAGGTGCTCTATGGGCTCTAAGATAAGGTCTTGTATAATTTTGGCCTAAAAAATCAACATAATTAGTACTCCAAATCCAGTTTTTCAACTTCGATTGTACCTTTATCAGTTCATTAATGCAAGAATGATACACTTTGTATATTGCTTGAACAGATGGCATATCTAAATATTGTTTAATGTCTGCTCTGTCGACAAAAGCTAAGTCTATGGATTCGGTCATGTTTGATGTGGCAAAAATTAGTACATTTGGATGCCTTTTTATTTGATCTATTTGAGTTAAAAGAGCATTTACAACTCTAATAGAGTCCGAAGGCTCTGTACCTAAAATTGACAGGTATGTTAATATTTTTATTACAATAGTTCTGTCTTAATATTTTTTATTTTACCTGACAAACACTGATTTCTAGCATGCGCTAAAGATTCAACTTCATCAATTAGAACGCAGACAAGTATATTTCTATTTTCTACAAAGTCATTTATTCTACTAAACATTTTATTTACCAGTTTACCACTCTAAAAGAAAATTATTACAAAAAACTGTAGGTATACAAAGTCTGATCAATTACAGAGATGACTGTAGCTAAATTTGTTTGATATGTCTTAAGGAAGACTATAACAAGTTCTAAATTATAAACAGGTTCTAAAAAAATGCAGGAATGTGAATATTAATTTCGAAAGAGTGAGTGAGATTTTTAATTAACTTAAAGTATTGAAAGTCAAGATGTTGATTCCCTGCATTATTTGATCATAGGTACCATGTATACATACATTAGTTGGCTAACTAGTATCACATAACTTACTTCTGAAAACCACCTTGAAAACAAACTATGGCTATTTATTTCTATAAGAATTCCAGAACTAAACCTATTTCCCATTCTGATAGTAAGTTTTTGAGCTAAAGCTTTACAAAGTGAAGTTTTTCCAGTGCCAGGAGGACCATGAAGTAGAAAAACTCTGTTACAACTGATTACATTGTTATCTACACCCTTATCAGAAAATTCCATCATTGTTTCAGCATATTTTAATAACTAAAATAATTTTGAAGGTGAATATTTGTCTTTATACTGCACAATGTTGTGCTTTTCAAGATGATGGACTACTGAGAAGTTAACTTACATTTTGTTTTATATTGTTATCAAAATATAAATTTTCCCACATATTTAATAAAGTTACTGATGGAAGAGTTATTTGGGTAGAAATAGTCGTTTGTGCGTCATCCCCATCATCTTCATTTTGTTCTACAGGACCATCGGTATCTAATTTATATACAAACCAATTTACTTTTAAGTGTTTAAAATCCACAAATGATTTATTCTAAAATTAAAAGATGTTTTAATTACAGTGTTTGAATAGTGTCCTAAACATTAGCAGGAAGATTAATTATTCATCACTGGAGTTGAATGAGAAAAGTGTTTACCTATATTCTTTCATCAAACTTACATAATTTGGTATTTCTCCAACTATAATAGTTTTTACACTATTATTAAGAACGGAAATTCCTTCTTCATCAATATTAATCACGCTGTTGGGGCGAACAATTATATTTTCTAAATATTTCTGAACTACCCCAATTATTGATTTCATAGTGGTATTGTTGCTAAAAAAAGAAAAATTGAACATGGTAAAAATATCACTCTGCTTATTGTTGATTTACAACCTATATTCGTTTAAAATTATTTCAATATCCACATTAGGAGTCATCGTAATGTTTTTAGAGTTTGTTTGAAATGTTAAATTATGTTTTGGATAAATTTAAAATTTTATTCGTTGTTTACAGGTATACCAACATGAGAAAATATTGTCAAATGTCATAAAATAGTTGGGTTTATAACGTTTTCCATTGGTTCTGGCAGTGCGAACTGAGTATATTTGTGTCCTTGTTTATCGATATGGAAGAGAAGAAAGAGAGAATAGACTCAGAACGCAGGAAACATACCAATGGAAAATGCCATTTGAGATCGAGCATTGGCGTCACAAAGCACATAGAGGTTCCACGTGAATGACCAAGGTCAAAACCGACAACTGACATTTTTTATGCTATTTGCTCCAAACTCTAGATGGGGCTACTGGTGAAATTATGATTTCTTACTCCATTTTTAAGCCTTATGGGAGAAAAACTTAACCAAAGACTTCAAAGATGTGACGTGTATTTATTTATGTTCTTGGTTAGTTTCATTTTTCCGTCTGATTTTAGTGATTTTTTGTTGGCTTTGGCTTTTGGTTTCTGTTTATAGTTTCGTCTTAGTTATTTGCAAAATTGTGATGTTTCGCTTTTTTATTTCCTACTGTGTTTTGCAATAATTTTGGTGCTACGTTGAAAACTTCGAGAAAAACTTCATTGATTCACCATATATTCACCATGCATCTGCATTATAAAAAGACAAACGGGGACAACAACTAATTGATAATCAATTTATCACTGGACTGGATTCCGAAATATGTATCACCATCTGTATTTAGAAGGAAAATACCTATTTATCATTGAATGAATAGTTAAAAGGATTCACCTTTTAATACAATACCTATATTACATTTGTCCTCAGTTAAAAAGACATTTATAAAATATATAACTTTAGTGTTAATAAAATGTAATATCCTAGTCTCTACTTCACATTTAAATTATTGATAGGTATTTTAAAGATTTGAGATTATATATCTATTTGCTCCAAGTAAGTATTCGTTAAATATGTATTATTATTTGTATTTATTTTTATCTAATAATATTTATTTAAGTTATTAATAAACATATCTTAAGAATGTTCCATTTTATTATTTATTGATATATCTTATATTTATTTAATACAAATATGCAGAACCAACTCTCCACATTAGACCCCTTATAACAAATTAATTCTTCAAATTTGGTATACTCGACCTAAATTATTTTGTAAAATAAAAGTTTCGAACTTACTAGTTCCATACTTTATTTTATAAAATAATTTATGTGGAAATCATTTAAAATTTAATTTAAAACTACTACCTACTCCTAAAAATTACAATTTGAATTTACCGCCATCTGTCAATTGTCATTTTAGTTCCAGCTCCAAACACAAGGTGTCGCTAATTTGGTTTAAAAGTTTAACATTGGCGTGGGGTCTCTAGAAGATACATGCTTTGTGATTGGCGTCTCCCATTTATGTCTCCCACTTGTTTTTATTATACACTTGCCTTGAAAATTATTGTCTTGCATATGAACAGAGACAATCCAGCGAGACGTGTAACTCAATGTATTTTTTTTGTTCGGTAAAACTTATTTGGGCGATTGTAACCACAACCAGTCTATGATGGCGCCACTAGTAAGTAGCGGGAAAATTAAAAATGCTTTAGGGCGGGAAATTCAAACATGGATTCAGAAATCGTTTTTGTATACAACAAATTTACAAGAGAAACAAAAACTGTTTCACTGTTTATTAAAAAATATAAAAGCTTCCAATATCATCAAATTCTTTATCATATAAATAATCATTTTAATAAAGGAAGTTTTAATCAGTTTAATATAAGCAGTGAGCATAGTTTTTATTACTCTTGTAAATTTCGCTAAAAAAACTTGAAAGTTCTATTGATTATTAAATATTTAAACTTGGAAAAATAATACACCAAACTCTTTTTCTATAAATTATATTTTTTTAAGGTACAGAAAAACAAACTACAATTGCTATGTTTAGAAAGTACCTCCTATCATTTTGTGACAAATTACAAAGAAAGTAACAGTTGTTATATATTCATAATATATTTAAAAACTAATGTAACAAATATTTTATAAAGCATAGAGTATATCGATACCTTTTTGCCAGACTATCATAAGTGCCATTTGAACAAATGTCGCTTATGTTAGTCTGGCAAAAAGGTATCGATATGTTATGACTGTTTATTTGAATAGAAACCATGGAAATGAAACAAACACACATACACTCAATACAAATGTATAAGGCCTGAGTCGAGTTCCCATCCTGTAAACTGGATCGAAACCTGCTAGACCCATTCCGTACACCCCCTGCTAACTCTTCTTAGGGTAATCAAGATCAATAGATTTATATGTCATGCCTTCTAAAATGGAATGACATACTATCATTTAAACAGGACGTTGCTGAAGGCTTACCCCTCTTATTTTGTTTGTTTGTGTATCTTGTGTGTGTGCATTCCTGTTGTGTCCCCAGTCATGTAAAAGTTTTCCTAGTCTCCTAATTTGGTTACTAGGTGGACCTTCTCCAACTAGTAGTCTAATCTATTCGATCTGTTCTGCAGCAGGAGGTACTTTTCAAACATAGCAAATAATATTATTAATAATAAACACTATTTAAAGATAAATACATTTTGGTAATTTTTTTGTCATTGCCCCTTACCTTTCTCTTACACCACCAGGGTATACCTATTTTCCATATTCCCTTAATTATAGATTACCTTACAATGTTCGAATGAATATAACATTTTACTCATGAAAAATCTAATTTCATATTTAACTCTTTTTCAATTTCATTTGAAACAATAATTGGTACCTATATTACAATTTATTATCAAAGAAAATTTCTAATAAAGTTATAGCAAATCCTACTTAAACTATTGGTTGTTCTGCAGGATAAATTAACTTTTCTTGAGATTGATCTCTCTATAAAATCCAAAACCGACCTGATGTCCCCAAATTTATTTTCCAATGCATCCTGATTTAAAATTCTGCCGTTTTGTGATTCAATTTTTTTTTCTTCCTTTAGAGTGGCTGTTAGAGGTAGGTGTATGTAAGAAATAGCTAATCTCTAATCATTTCAAAAGTCCTTTGCCAATACTACATGTGCAGATTTTTTACTCAGCATACATTTAACTTTTCTAGTAGATAGGAACTTTGTGCTGCCATTAAAGCTGTCCAGACATTCATCTATCTACTTAATGAACACAAGTAGCTGTAACAATGGATCTCTGTTCCAATTCACCTAAAATAATTATAGTCATTGGGTAATATATTATTAAACACACACATTATACACATATACATAATAAATTGGAAATTACTTACCTCTAGAAAGAAATGTATACAAAAACGCGAGTTTGGTTCCAGAAATTGCTTCATGCAAAAAATAATATGCAAAAATAAACATTCCCCCCAAAGAAAAATAATTAAACAACAAAATCAGACTAAAAGAAATATACGGGGCCCAAATTAAATTAATTTTAATAAAATGCACATGTTCATAACAACATTCATAACATTGTCAGTTGTCAGTTTTAATACTTTTAATCGATATTTTGACGTCAAAAAACCAGCAACACCAGCGCCCTCTGAAAATGGTGTTAGTTTTATTGGAGAGAGATAGACATATGTAAAGATCAATGTAAAAGAAAAAGAGGGTCATATATGTAATTTAAATGGACCACCGAACATATTTTCCTATTAAGTTACACGTCTCTGTTGTCTCTGATATGAACCATTTAAACTCTTGTCTGCCTGAGTAAGTTTTAAATCAGGAGTAGGCCTTCTCAAAGATTTAATAATCAGCCAGCAAAGGTCTCGAAAAATTAGTTTTAAAATATTTTATAGACCATTATTCGCCGTTATAAAAATGCCGTAACCGAAAAACCCCGAATATAAAAATATACTAAAACAGAGACATGTTAAGACAGTGTTTCCAAAAAAAAATAAAAATTATTCGATTGTCGAACTCAAATTATTCGAATTTTTTTTTCAATTTTTAATTAATTCGACAGAAAATACAAAATTTTGTCTTACAGTCATAAAATAACAAAGAAAATAAATGACACAGTAAGCCGTAAGACCCGAGTCCGCTGCAGACAAAGGCATTTATTTATATACCCTATTGTCGAAGAAATCCACATTGCTTTCGGGAAATCCCCTAATTCGGTTATGCTACACATCAAAGATCTATTACTAGGCAATTATTCCATATACACAAGTGCTTTAATAGTAGCATAACAATGTTGTAAATAAACAAAGATATGTCTTTTTAAATAAAACAATTTTTTATACAGAAAAATATTTAGAATCATTTGGTACAGCAATGTCTCGTTGAGGAAAAATAGCAAGTACTTTTTTTTTTCGTTTCCTTTTTTTATCGTTATTTTAGAAAAATCAAACAGTAATAACTATTTTCTGTAAACTAGAACTTTGTAAATTTAATTTCTCAGATTGAAAGAGTATTTTAGTTACACCTCAAATTTGAATAGTGTTAAAAAAATGTAAATACAGGTTGATTAATTAAGAATGGGACACAGAACAAATGAATATTCTCCGATTAAAAATAAGACGATTAAACGAAATATGCTTAGATAAAATATTACCTGTTTCCGAAATACAGAGTGTTAAAGTTGAATATTTAAAAATTATCAATGGCCATAATTTTTTATTTCTTAGTATAATTTTACTAAATTCGGTAAACACTGTTGATTTTTGTATAGCTATCTTGATTATTTGTTGGTTATACACATACCATATTTGTACACAATAAAATAAATTTTAGGACACGTTAACAATAATTGCTTTCTATACTTTACCTCAAATGGGCAAAAAGTGTTCTTTTTCGTCGATAGGTCAAAAGACAGGTAGGCCCTCATTCAAGAAGTGGGTCCTCGTTCAGGAAGTTGGCCCCCGTTCAGGCAGTGGGCCCTCGTTCAGTAAGTAGACCCTTGGTTAGGCAGCAAGCCCGTATGAGAAGAACAAACAAAGAATTTAATGCAAGAAACCCCGTAAATAAGTAAAACCTTCTCCCTCCTGACCGATAGGCCCTGAAGATCCCAATCCGACACTGCTTATCACCACTCTGCATTATACCATCGATATGGAGTTTTA